GATGAGGGGGCTGGGGGTGGAGAGAGTGACTTTATTGCTAACCAAGGTTTATATATTTTTGGGGGGGCATGCAAGCCCCCTAATTACAGGTAAAGACATACATCACAGGAAAGGGTTGTACTATAGGTAATACAACAATGGGAGGGGGACAATCTAGGGGTCTACATGCAATAGGAAGAGGAGGGATTGGGGGTTCACATGTGACAAGATGGGAGGATCCTAGATTCAGGAAGGCAGCCTAACTTTGGATGTTACTGAGAAGGTTTGACCACTTCTCTGGCTCTCCATGGAAACAATTACTATCCTTATCAGTAGGATGTGAGCCCTACTTGCAGTGGACCAGAATACTTCAAGGAGAATATCTTTTAAGCATCTAACCTCCCACCATGTGCTGGCAAACAGCCTCTAGTGTTTGGCGTATCTTTGGGGGAGACAAAGCTGGGGAAAAGTCTTTTGATATCCCACACTCAGCTGTGCCTGAAAGTATATCAGGCCCTGGGCTCTGCCCTGTACAGGTAAGTCTCTTTTAGCTCCCCAAGACACAAGTGTGAAGGCAGCCCTCTGGACTAGCAGGCCTGCGTCTGTTAGAAGGTACTCAGGGCTCTCACTCCATGGGAATCAAAGGCTGTTAATGCAAAAAACCAGGTCTTTATCTGCCGCCTTCGTAATAATAAAATACTTTTAAGAAAACGTTTTAAAAAAGAAGAAAAATTTTATTTACTAGATGAGCAAAGGAGATGGGATTGAGTGTCTCAAACTGGACAAAGGGGAAAAAGGGATTTGTAGATATTAGGAGGGGAGAGGCTTGGGAAAGTCAGCAACCTTGGACCTCTGTCACAAGGCTTCTGCCAATAACCTGCCCTAGCCAGGACTCAAAAGAATAAGCTCTCATTTAGTTACTTTTGGAAAACACACTCCCAATATTTTTTTTATCTCAGGTTGACTTTATAAGCTCTATGGGCTCACTGAGTGCAGCTGTTTGAGGGAAAATGAGCAAGTTTACCAATTATCTTAAAGAGAACAGTTTGAACGATGTCAAGTTTTTCAGTTATAACAGGACGATGTGGGGGTTTGCTAAGAGTTAACATGTCCTGGAGTAGACAACTCTGTCAAGGTCAGAATTGCACAGAATGTAGAGAAGAAAGAGAACCCAGCTTCTGCCTTATTCCACCTCACTTTTAATGATACTCATGATTATTATTCTTATTTAATTGGGGAATGTGAGAGAAGCTCTTACCTTCTATAACTTTTCTTTTTTTCAAATCATTTTATTGGGGACCCATACAACTCTTATCACAATCCATCCATTGTGTCAAGCACATTTGTACATTTGTTGCCATCATCATTCTCAAAACATTTGCTTTCTACTTGAGCCCTTGGTATCAGCTCCTCATTTCTCCCCCCCCCCTTCACGAACCCTTCCTATAACGTTTTCTATCTGACACAAGAAGTTATTTCTTACTCTTATTCAGTCACTCACTGCCGTAGAGTCAATGCCGTCTCATAGCCACCCTATAGGACAGGGTAGAACTGCCGCTGTGGGTCTGTGAGACTGTAACTCTTTACGGGAGTAGAAAGCCTTGTCTTTCTCCCCTGAGCAGCTGGTGGCTTTGAACTGACCTTGCGGTTAGTTCAACATGGAACCACCACCACCACCGAGACTCCTCTAGATTCCTTACCAGCAGTGTAGAACTTCTGAGCTACAGTCACCAAATGTTGATTTAGTTACTTCTTCAATCTCTGGAAATGAAAATGAGTCTCATTAGAATCACTGCACTCATTTTTCACTTCCAAAGGAAGACGGCAAAGACAGATGGAGGCATTACTCGTTGCACTTGAAAGAAAAGCAACATGCACGTTCACTAAGGCCTGCTGCAACGGCAGGCCTAGCGTGCTGCCTCCCATGTCGGTTGCCGCTCTTCTCTCCCACTTCTCGCTCGCACCATCTCCTGCTGTCTTTGGTGTGACAGCTGTGCTTGTGCTGAATTGAAGAACTTTAGCACAGGCATCTTGAATCTGAAGGAAACACTCCATGCCTGGCTCTTCTTTCTTGACCGTGGTGAGATTTTCCTGTCTGGCTCCGGGATGGCGCATTGTAATCATGGCGGGTGACAAAACTGAGCAATCCCCTTGTTAGGGTTCCACACTCTCCTTCCTTGGATGGCCTCAGCCCACAGGCCTACCATGGACCTTGTTTGCGTTTTTGTTTGCTTTTTATCCAATGCCCTTGGTGGGCCACAGCCCTTTCCTCGGGTGGAGTCCTACTCAGTCTCTGGGTGGGAGTTACTAGGTAGCTGGCGAGAAGGGCCCCAGTGAGTCGTGCACAGCAGTGCCCTCCTCGCTTTAGGCCGTCACCTGTTTCTCCGCTCATTCTATAGTTGGCTCACTGCTGTCTGAGGGACTCACTGGCCACACTTCCTATTGGCTGAGGGGGCTTTCTCCCTGCAGAAGTAGGAGTGCCGTCATGAAGTAGGAGATGTCCAATCCAACCAAGCTTCACATACATGCTGACCTTGATGGATTGAATGGTGTCCCCAAAATATATGTTGTCAATTCTAACCTCTACATCTGTTTTTTCTTTAAAATTTATATA